TGGTAAGATGGTATGGACGCCATTAATGGTAAGATGGTATGGACGCCATTAATGGTAAGATGGTATGGACGCCATTAATGGTGAGATGGTATGGACGCCATTAATGGTGAGATGGTATGGACGCCATTAATGGTATAATGGTACGTCAGTACTAAGCTCAGATCGATGCAGTAGGACCGGTCAAGGACAGCTCGCTGTGGGTTCATTGACATTGCCGTGCGTGCCAGACTATAGCGACAAAATAATATTTTTTTTAATCTAAAAAATTTCTAGAAAATTTGTTTAACCTCTAAAATTAGAAATTTCTAGAAAACTTATTCAGCCTTTAAATAGAATCTTTATGCACTCGCAGAAGAAGCAAATTTGAAGATGGCAATGAAAATGATTTAAAATATTCGGTATTTGTAAATGAAATTAAATGATGAGTCAAAATTAAACACAGAAAAATAACCGGATTTTATGTCCCAAATCTCCGCACTCTTTCTAAGGGCCCATACTTTCAAAACTCGCTAAGTGAACGTAAGTACTTACGCTCTATTTTCTTGTCTATGATTGGTGGATTTTGCTTGAGAGGCCGTCAATGATTGGCTGATGAACTTACGATCTCTTAACTTTTTTTGAAAGTATAGGCCCAGCTTATTTACTCAGATAAATGAGTGAGACCGTGAAAATAATTATATAATTTGTTTAATTGAAGCAAACTGATGAAATAAAAATTAGTTACTGAATAACCTGATAAGTTTTTGTAAGTTCACCAAGATTGTAACAACAAAGAAAAGATCAAGCAAGTATGTACACATATATAGCCGTGCACTTTCTGTTCACTTGCCTGGGTCATCCTGACTCAGTTTGGCCCGGCTAAAGGGCGTATCAGTGCTACAAACGCTCTCTGCTCGTGTTCTGGGCCTATACTTTAAAAAAAGGTAAGAAAGATTGTAAGTTCATCAGCCAATCATTGACGGCCTCTCAAGCAAAATCCACCAATCATAGACAAGAAAATAGAGCGTAAGTGCTTACGTTCACTTAGCGAGTTTTGAAAGTATGGCCCCTGATTATCCCAGTTCCTGACCTCAAGGCACTTGGGCTCGTGGATGGGTACCACGAATAATTAATTGTTATATCTTCAGGCTGCTTAAATTAGACATATTATATAATTATTTTCATTAATTATCTAAGTAAATAAGCTGTTATCCCATATTCTGACCTCAAGACACTTGGGCTCGTGGATGGGGAGCGATCGCGTGCCGAACTCGCGGCCGCAGATATAACAAGTGAGCAGAACCGTACGGGGGGCGGTGCTGCCCCCACCCCCCTTGTCCCCCTCCTCGTCTATGGCAGTCATTTTACGATGACCTATAATAACAACATCAATGAAAGGAATAAATAATAATAAAATTAGAATTTACGATGACCTATAATAACAATATCAATAGATGGAATAAAAAATAATAAAATTAGAGACATTTTTTTTATCATTTTACTGCTGACATTTATCATATCAGCAGTCATTTTACGATGACCTATAATAACATCAATGTAAAGAATAAAATAATAATAAAATAAGAAAATTTATTAGGTAACCTTGGATTCACTGCGAAGGAATAAAATTAGAAAATTTAATGAGAAAAGTTGGATTAACTGCTGTGTTTTACTGTCTCTTTTCTACAGTGAATTACCACTTTCCGCAATATCTCAGACTTTTCTTCAGCATCCATTAACCAAACGCCGGAACAATCTACAACACAGAAAGGTGTATTTTTTACAATATATTTTCATATAGGTACTCAAATCCTTGCTTAGGCATTCAAAATTCGTCAATCAATACAATATTCAAGGTTTGTTCTCTTGCTTATAATTTTTTTAACAAATTCCATTATCTCATGCGTCAGCCATCTTACTACAATCTGCCGTACCACGTTAATTAATAAGAGTCTAAAAATCATTCAAAAGTAAGATGCCCGTTTAGGAATATGTACGTTTTTGCATGATTGTGAATGTTGAGCTCCTTGTGGCATTCATTTAAGGAAAGAACAACTTATCATATTTAATAATTTCTTAAATTATATAATATAATATAATATAATATCTTATTACTGTACTATAAAACAGAGCACTGAATGCAAGAGAATTTTATAAAGTAAGTTTCAGTTTTGACTTTGATCAAATATCATTCTCTATTTTATTAGTGATGCGGAAGTTCTTGGGATATGGAATAATATCATTCGATTCATGATCACTGGCATGACGACCAGACGAACGTGTAAATATTTTGTTATTATTTAAAGATGTACCTCATTCGTGAATAAAATATCCTAGGAAATGGAATCCTACCATTAGATTTAGGATCACTGGCATGACGACTGGTTTAACGTATAATTATGATGTTATGTATTCAAAGATCTATCTCATTCGTGGAGAAAATATCCTAGTAAATGGAATCCTACCATTAGATTCATGCATGACGACCTGTCAAACGTATGAATATGATCTTATTTATTTAAAGATGTATCTTATTCTCGAAGAAAAATATCTTATTCACGAAGAAAAAAATCCTGGTAAGTGGAATCCTACCATTAGATTTAGGACCACTGGCATGACGACTAGTTTAACGTATAATTTTGATGTTCATATTTGAAGATGTAACTTATTCTCGAAGAAAAATATCTTATTCACGAAGAAAAAATCCTGGTAAGTGGAATCCTACCATTAGATTTAGAATCACTGGCATGACGACCAAGTTTACGTATAAATGGGATATTATTATTTAAAGATGTACCTCATTAGTGAAGAAAATATCATAGGAAGTGGAATCTTACCATTAGATTTAGGATCACTGGCAAGACGTTCAGGCTGCCGTTTATGTGTCGTCTCATCCACACTTTCCAGGTCCTCATTGTCTGAAGGCTCTTCGGCAGGCCCAACATCCAGAACTGTTGACGGTCTTCGTATTACATTAGCCCCTCCACTTCTGCTGGTCTGCTTGGGCATGTGTCTGTTTTTATCTAACATGTTATTACTAGAGTTCTTGTGTCTGTTATTTATGATATTCTTGCTTTTTCGCTGTCCGTAGGGATTGTGGAATGGTGATTCTTCAACAGACTCAGAATTTTCTTGTAATTTTTCAAGGATGTGTATTGAAAAGTCTTCGCTTTTGCTAATGGAAGATTTGTATTGTTTCGCCAACGAGTTCGAAGGGACTCCTCTTCTGGTTGCATGAGTTTCTTCTTCTGGGTCTGAACTTGCCTTTTCCATTTCATTCTTCGTGATTTGCGTGTTTCTACTTGGTGAATTATCCGCACTTCTCGTGTTTATAGATTTTTTTATTCTCGGTCCTCTATGATGCCCAACTCTGAGTAAATTTTCATCGCTTTTCCATCTCGTATCTTTATTAATACCTTGCGATTTCTTATCACGCTCGTGGTTATCTTCTTTCTTAGCAGCATCGACTTTCCCTAAAACTTGTTTGCTGCTCCTATACATCAGAGGAAGAGGTTTGGTCACAATTCGCTTGCTGTTGGCGTTGCGAAGTTGAGTTGTTCTGTTGTATTTGCTCTTGTCTCCAACCTTAAATTTAGGCATGTGGACAGGGTGGCTATGGAAGCGCTCTGGGTTCTGTTCCTTGCCGCAGGTCTGACATGGTTCCGGAACCTGAAAAGACAGTCAATTATAATCAACTTATAGGCCGAAAATAAATAATACTGAAGAATGTAAAAATAAATAATTTGCAGAAACGTGTCGGAGCCCAGCCAGTTTATAAATTTCTTGTTAATTTGCGATTTTATCAATCGATTGATGTCTAAACAGAGTTTATGTTCATGAACATGCAGAGATCATGAACATGCTTTGAACTCTGACTTCTGAACTCATGAACTCTGTTCATGAACAGTTCATGTTCATGAACTGAGTTTATGTGTAATCGTTTAGATTCCACAGTGAATATGTGTCAACACCTAAATTTATAACGCTCATATCCATTGCCACGGTGTTCGTTGTAACCAAAACACCACTTACTACGGCCATGGTTATCTTCTCTTTTTCTTTAACATTTTCCTTTGGTGTCGTGAAGAAATCTTCGAGTGTTTTTTTCCTCTGTTTAGGAGGGAACGATTTGATGATAGCTTGGGTAGCCCTGCGGGGCGGAGCTTTGGCCGCCGTGTGGATGATGACTGGGGCACCCGCGTGGCGTGCTGCTTTGGGGAGCTTCATAGTGCCCGGCCGCGCTGGCTGGGTCAAAAATCGAACAAAATTAAATGCATCGTAATGTTCGACGGCTGTATGTCTCTTTCTTTTAATGAGCCATTCAATGCATCGGAAGAGTTTTATTAAACTTGTTCAATGGCAGGGTGGCCCAGTGGTTAAAGTTCAGAGTACCAAGATTGACGCACTAGAGAGGCGCGGGTTCGATCCCAGCTCTGTGCGCCAGTTTCTGATCAGAATCGGCGGGGAGGCCGGGCGGTTAAAGCAAAGCAGAATTGCAGCAGTGGGTTGCGAGTTCGAGACCTCAAAATGCTGTGAATGTTCTGCTATGTTAAGAATCGGCGACAGGCCTACGGCCTAATAAACGCTGAAACCGCTATTATTATTATTATTATAATGGCTGTATATCTCACTTTTTTAATCAGCAATTTAATGCAGCGGAAGACTTTTATTAAACTTGTTCAATGGCTGTATATCTCACTTTTTTAATGAGCCATATAATGCATCGGAAGACTTTTATATAACTTGTTCAATGGCTGTATATCTCACTTTTTTAATGAGCCATATAATGCATCGGAAGACTTTTATTAAATATGTTCAGTGGCTGTATATTTCACTTTTTTACTCAGCCATTTAATGCATTGGAAGGCTTTTATTAAACTTGTTCATTGGCTGTATATCTCACTTTTTTAATCAGCCATTTAATGCATCAGAAGAGTTTTATTAAATATGTTCAATGGCTGTATAACTCTCTTTTTTAATCAGCCATTTAATGCATCGATAGACTTTTATTAAACATGTTCAATGGCTGTATATCTTACTTTTTTAATCAGCCAAATCTCCAATTAAATTATTGATCCCGCAATGGAACGCATAGTTCATTCCATAGCATTAAAACAAACCTTTTTTTGCTTCAATAACTTGGCTAGTTGCTATTTACCGGCTGAAGTCTATACATTTTTGTTAAACGGATACTTTTTTATTAGTAATAATATTAATGTTGATACCTACTTGATTAATATTATATTATTATTTTTTAATATACAATCTTATTATTATTAATATTTATATTATTATTAACATGTTCACCTTCTTTTGCCTATCGGGATCCGACTCTCCACCGCTGCCTGAAGACAGCGCATCGTCGTCCGTGTTTTTTGCAGGGACGTTCCCTAGAGGCGATGGAGATGACGACGTGTAGTCACCACTGCTGTAGTCACTGGATGTGACATTGGAATTACCCACATCTGAGCCTAGGGCTGCAGGAGTAACATCAGTTGATGTGATGGGCTGAGGCATCTTCTTGACCATGTCACGTGTCAGCTGGCTCATGTCAACCTCGGTGCGTAGCGAGGCGTTGAGAACCTAATGAAAATATTGGATTATTATTCAGTAAAATGTGTTACACAGTCTAGATGGTGCACAAAAAGGTTTTAGCGTTGAGAACCTAATGGAAATGTGATTGTTAGTCAATAAAATGTATGTTACTTAGTTTAAAAGTGTATGTTACACAGTCTAAATGGTGCACAAAAAGGTTTTAGCGTTGAGAACCTAATGAAAAATGTGACTGTTGTTCAGTAAAATGTGTTACACAGTCTAAATGGTGCACAAAAAGGTTTTAGCGTTGAGAACCTAATGAAAAACGAGATTTTTAATCAGTAAAATGTATGTTACACAGTCTAAATAGTGCACAAAAAAGTTTTAGCGTTGAGAACCTAATGAAAAACGAGATTGTTATTCAGTAAAATGTATGTTACACAGTCTAAATGGTGCACAAAAACGTTTTAGCGTTGAGAACCTAATGAAAAACGAGATTGGTATTCAGTAAAATGTGTTACACAGTCTAAATGGTGCACAAAAAGCTTTTAGCGTTAAGAACCTAATGAAAAACGAGATTGTTATTCAGTAAAATGTAAGGTAAAATGTTGGGTGATTGTTACAGTCTAAATGGTGCCCAAAAAATTTTTAGCGTTGAGAACCTAATGAAAAACGAGATTGTTATTCAGTAAAATGTATGTGTGAAGGGTTTTCTCATGTGCGCTTGATGTACAAATCTATATTCGTCCCATTATTTTGTACGCATAGCTTACCAGGGTGTTGCGGTTAGCATAGGCCGTCATTATACGATGAAAGCCTGAACTAGGAAGAATAATTGAGCTTTACCTCAATAATTTGGTAAGTCTAGCCATTACATCCGAGGCTGTTTTACGTGACTTATGCGTCTACAATTAGTGTGTATATATGAATGTTTTATATTTCGTCATAAGGTGTTAGTTTTATTAAATGTTTCGACTTCGCCATGAAAACCGTTGGCAAGTAACTCCACGCGTGTCAAATTATTCTACCAAAAAGAAGAGTTTCGCTACGAAATTCTTCACAGTATGTTACAGTCTGAATAGTGCAATAAAAGGTTTTAGCGTTGAGAACCTAATGAAAAATGGGCTTACTAATCGGTAAAATGTATGCTACGCAATCTAAATGGTGTATAAAAAATTTTTAGCGTTGAAAACCAAATGATAAACGGAATTACTAATCAGTAAAATGTATGCTACGCACTCTAAATGGTTTATAAAAAAGGTTTTAGCATTGAGAACCTAATGAAAAACTGGATCACTAATCAGTAAAATGTATATTATACAGTCTAAAGGAAGCGCAATAAGGTTTTACGTTTTCTCTGAAGTGCACAGAAAATTCTTAGAAATGAAAGCTATGAACTTACACGGTTATTTTTCTGAAATTGCATACGCTGGTTGATCCCATTTGGTAATGTATGAATTAGGTAATGTTATGATTGCATGTTACGGTACCAGTGTTGGGTGATTGGGCGACACTGTATCAGTGTTGGGTGATTGCATGACACTGTGTCAGTGTTGGGTGATTGCGCGACACTGTATCAGTGTTGGGTGATTGCATGACA